GCCACTGCCGATGCCGACGGCGCCACGGTGCCGACGCGACTTGGAGGCAGTCTCTGAGAGGATCTCATTGGACTTTTTCGCCGTCTCCGAGACCAGCGCCGATGAGTGCTTGGCCACCTCCATGGAAAGCTCCTGCGATCGCTTCACCACCTCGCCGGCGAAGGCTCCGACTGCAGCGCCCTCGGTGGCCGCGCGTCGGCAGTCCCGCCCCCGGCAGCCGCGCCCCAGCAGGCCGGCGCACCCGAGCTATCTTGCCCGGCACCACCACCACCACGATCCATAGGCGTCCCGAGGGAATCCGCCACCGTCGCGTCCGCCCTGCACAGATCTAGAGCGGTGGTGCACTGGTGCTGCCCTGGCGGTCGTCCCGTACTTCGCGCACGCTTGATGGTCGCTCGGTTCAAGGGGCTATGGCCCCTAGCCACGGATCGCATTGTGACGATGTGGCTGCGGACGGCGGGTGGGTCGAGCGGCGCTAGGTTGGAGGCCACCTGCGCACGGAGTGGAGCACTAGGCGATCGCGGAGTGATTGACGGTAACCTGGCGAAGGGCCCAAAAACCTAGGCACCTGGCATAGGGCTATCGTGATGGTGAGATAGAGTGCGTGCGGGCCCTGCGCCATGGTGGCAACTGGCGGGCGGCCTGGCGTCCTTGGCCGGTGCCCTCACCTGGTGGGTGGCTCCCTCGTCTGGTCGGATGAGAGATGGAGGAGTCGTCGTCGCACGCGTGGGAGAGGAGGCGTAGGGGGAGTGGGGGAGGCGCGCGGGGTGGGAGGCGTCGGGGGTGAGGGGGAGGCGATTCGCATGGATAGGCAGATGGACGAACCAAAACAAATGTCACACCAAAAGATGTCCTCGCTTTGTTCTTTTTAGTTGTAGGAGATATGGGAAGCGCCGGGGCCCGGACATATATCGGACGGCTTTGTGGACGCACTCTCTCGTAGCGCTCCTCCTTCCCGATTCGCAGACTCGCTTCGCTACCAAAGATGCCCCCCGATGCGCGCGCAAGGAGCGGACCCGCTAGCGATGGTGCGAGGCCGGGGCAGCAGCATGGACCGACGTCGCCGCCCTGAGATCGTGCGCCCGCGTGAACTGCCGCTGCTGCGTCTTCGTCGAACGAAGAGCCCCGCTAACACCGATGAACCCGCGACCTGTGATGCCTACGAAAAGCCCCGCTAGCCTCTATGCCGTGCGAGTCCACACTCCCCCAGATCACCCCCGCAGCCTGTCACGTCCGCCCCACGCCCGCGACGAGCATGCTGCATGCCCAGCGCCCCCCACGGCCATAGCACCCCACGTCCGCCGGCCCCAGCACCTCCGCCCGCTAGGCCCCGGCGAACCACGCGCCCCCGTACGTCCCGGCTCGCCCCTCCCCGGCCGAACAACATAGAAAGCTAGAATAAAACACGTGCAACAACACGGAAACAACTACTGCAACATTAGGCTGAAGCAGTTGAAACACCATGAACATATATATTGCAACAACAAGGAACAACAGCTGCAACATTAGGATGAAGCAGTTGAAACACCATGAACATATTATTGCAACAACAAAGGAACAACAGCTGAAACATTAGGCTGAAGCAGCTGAAACACCATGAACATATTATTGCAACAACACGGAATGAACTGCTGCAACAATAGGTTGAAGGAGATGAAATATTTGGAACATATTATTGCAACAACACCGAACAAACTGCTACAACAAATAGGTCGAAGGAGCTGAATCATTTGGAACATATTATTGCAACACTGGTGTGAAGCATATGAAAAAACGCTCGAAATAAAAACACTTGGAACAACTACTGCAACATGAGATTGAAGCAACTGAAACATTCTGCAACATCTCAAGCAGTACTACTGCAACATCGCAAAAACATATGTTGCAACAACAACAAAACCATTGCAACATTCGAAATCATCTGTTGCAATATCAAAAAAAACTATTACAACATGGCGAGATCTGACCCTTGAGAGCTCGTCAAAACCCTAGCCACCGCCGCATCCCTTAGATCCGGAGGAGGAGGAGGAGGAGGAGGGCTCGGATCTAGATCCAAAGGAGGAGGAGCAAGGCCTCAGATCCAGATCCCTATGCAACCTACCTTGTCGGAGCCGCCGTCGTCGTCCTAGTCTCTGGTGGGGTGCGGGAGCCAGGTCGTAGGGAGGTGGGGTGCATGGAGGTCATGGAGGGCGAGGGACGGAGGAAGGAAGGGAGCACAGGTGGGCGGGCGCGCAGCGGGCGTGCAGCGAGCTCGCGTGCGGAGAGAGGGAGGGAGGTGGCGTAGGGACAAGGGACGGAGGGACTGAGGGAGCTCGTGCGGCGACGGCGTGAAGAGCGGACAGGAAAGCGGCGAGAGAGCGAGTGTAGGAGAGAGCGAGGGCGGGGGAACGGGTAGAGTGCGACTGCGGGAGAGAGTGACTGTGAGGCAACGGGCGGAGCGAGTGAAGTGTGAGTGTGTGGGGAGTGGGTGAAGTGAAGCGGCGTCGGAAAGGCGGATAAGACGAGGTGCGGTCGGTGAAGTCGCGAATGGTAGTCGGACGCGCGTCCGGCGTGTCGGACGTACGCGTCATAGCATTTCCGTTTATATATACTCTCTCCGTCTAATCTTAAATTTAGATTTATAGAAAATTATATTAACATGTATATATCTAGATAGATAGGATCAACATAAAAGTATATAATGTAATTAACCTAATAATAATTATTTGATATTATAAATTTTTGTATTTATTTATATATATTTGGTCGAATTTAAGTTTGTTTAACTTCTCTCAGTACGACATGTGTACTTAGTTTGGTATGGAAAAATAGTTTTTATTGCGTAGTAGTAGTGGTGGTGAAAGGAGGAGGACAAGTGGAAAGGGCAAAATACATCTTTTTTCCAATTTCTTATTTTATTTATTTTTACACTTTTCTATATCAAGTGTCCGATTTTTTTTGTTATTCAGGTAACATGTAATTTCATCACTGTTTGGCTATAGAAAAAATTAATTATTGTTTATTGTGAGTTGTCCTTTCAACTGTACTAGTTGTCTTTTTGTGAGTTGTTGCATAAAACTTTCCAACAATTTAGGCACTCGAAATATAAGAGCATCTGCAAGAGTTTCCAAAACCCACTCGCAATATAGATTTTTTAGCAAGGTTCAAAAAATTTGCCCTCCAAGAACTCCCTATCTCTCCACATTAGGGAAAATCAATCCAATAATGCGGAAATATACGCGCGCGTATCGACGTGCCAATCTGTAGGTGGAAGGATACATGAAGAATAAAGAGTATGACATGATCCCTGATACAAATGTAAGAGAGAAAGAAAGTATAAAAGTGGTTGGGGAGATTAAGAAATAGTTTAGGATTCCTAATATAAAATTATCTTGAGCGAGGTTTTGGAAACTGTTGGAGGAAGCCAACAAATATACTCTCAACTTTTTTAGCCACTTACAAAACTCATTGGTTTACCGACTAAATTTTGGGAACTATTGGAGATACTCTAACAACTCTCTTATTTTTATCCTTATTTTTTTTCTTCATCAAGTTATGATTTTTGTTTGGTTTACTTTTAGATGTATGTAAAAAAGAGCATCATATGAATTATGATGAGAGAGGATATTATAGTTTGGGTAGGGTGTGGTTGAGAACTTTGAGATTGAGACGATGATGCATGAATGAGCAAATTATGAAGAAGGGATGGTGATTATTACTTAACGGAATGAACGAGACATGCAAGTGCATGGACAGCATGATGACTCTTCATGGAGATTAGTGGTTTGAATAGTGGGGCAAGACAAGTAATGGTGGGTTAAAGGTTGGATTATTATTTTATTTTTATCTTTTTTTTACAATTGTTAGCTTTCCGATTGAAAATTAATGGCCATGAGACAAACATAAATTGGATGGATATTTTCCATAATTGTGTGATTTGATTAAGCCATCTTTGAATACATAACCTAGGACACATATAGGTAGTGGGATGGGGTTCCTCTTGCCCATGATTTAAAGCTATTTTGTGTAACTCCAAGTTATCTATGTGGTAGACTCTAGAGAATATCCAAGTTCTCCATACAGATATAATTGTAAATTAATACATCGAAGTGTCATCTTCAACTCGATCTAAGTTCTCTCATCTACGGTGCAAACCAATACAATTCTCAATAATCCTAAATTGAAACCCAAATAGCCTATCACATTAAAGGCCAGTTTAATAGGGCTCTTCTCTGGCTCCTCTTGTAGACAGCTTCTCTTGAGCCGAAGTTGTTTTGAGCAAAAACGGTTCTAATAACAGTTTTGTTATAATTTGTGCCTAATTCGTGAGGATGAGCTGGGAGAAGCCATATTTTCGTCGCTCCGCTCACATAGTATAGAGTTAAGACGGATTCGACTCCTCTATGCTTATTCGTAGGAGCCATTTCTTGGATGGCCGTTTGGCAACGTTTCGGATAGCCTCCCTCCAGGAATCAAGAACAAGAATAATCAAGGACAAATAAATGTAGAGGCACACACAAAAGACTCGACTTTATTCTCAAAGTTATGCTACGTACAATGACTTTCACCAAACAAGTTGGTGCAAGTGGTGACAAGCACCATATGCATGCATCTATATACCTTGCAGTAATGCAAATCATTCACTTATTCATCCCTCTCCTCCACTCTCCCTATGTATATATATTGACACACATCTAGATACTTTTAAGGGCTTGTTTGATTGTACTTCAGTCCACCACAATCTATGTAGGCCGGAAGGGATTAGGCGAAAAATTAGTTATTTTTTCACCTCGATTCCTTCCAACCTATATGGATTGGAGTGAATTGGAGTGCATATAGATAAGTCCCTCGCTAGATGACATCAGTGATAATGATACGTTCCGATCACACGCTATACATGTGTCATGGTAAGTGAAGTTCGTAATGGTGTGGAAGAGATACTACTGTGATTGATAATCATATACTATTTGGAGTGGAAGTGATGATCATAGAGTATTATAGAATGGAACTAGATAGAGTAATTAATTGGTGATAGGGATGAGCCTGCCGTAGGCCTTGCGATCGTTGTCCTTGGGCACGGTGACGGTGAGCACGCCGTCCTGGAGCGCCGCCTGCACGTTGTCGGTGTTGGCGTTGGGCGGCAGGCGCACGGTGCGGACGAACCGCTCGGAGCTCCGCTCCACGCGGTGCCAGCGGTCGCCCTTCTCCTCGGCGGCGCGCTGCCGCTGCCCGCTGATCTTGAGCACCTTCTCCTCCTCCACCTCCACCTTCACCTCGTCGCGCCGCATCCCGGGGAGGTCCGCCATGAACACGTGCGCCGTCGGCGTCTCCTTCCAGTCCATGCTCGCCGTCGCGAACGACGACAGGCCCAGCGCCGGCGCCGCGAACGCCGCCAGCGTGATGGCGTCCACCAGCGGCTGCTCCTTGATGTCGATGCTCACCGGTTCCACTGCCGCGGCCTCCGCGCCGCCGGCGCCGGCGCCACTGCCGGTGCGCGCGGTGTTGCCCTTCTGCTGCTGCTTGCGGCCCAGTATGCTGGTGATCATCGACATGATGATGCCTCGATCTTGATCAGTCGCTGTGTAGTGTAGTCTGTGTATTAGTGCTCACTTATTGGTGGTCCAGTACGTCCATGCCATCTTGTCTATTTATAGACGAGCAAAGGCAAAGGAATACTTCTTGGTCGGTGATGACTTGGTGTATATGCCATCGCATGCAGCATGCATATATGCATGTATATCAGTATATGATCTAGCTTCTAGGAGCTTGTATACCTCTTGTGTGATGACGAGAGAGATTCTCACGAAAGAGCCCCTCTCTCTCCCCCTGAGGCCCGAGCTTAAGTTTTTGAATGACTTGAAAATTTAGGTTTGATTTTTAGTGAGTTAAAACGTTTTCGTTTAAATTAACTGACTTGTTGAAAGAAGTCCAAAAGAATAGCCTAAATCACTGCACCGAAAGCTAACCAACTTCTTCGTGCCGAGATCTGATGAGAACCAACAAATCTAACATAACGTACTCTTACAGACCCTTTGCAAACCTTATTCCAATACACATCATCAGTCATCACCACCGCACCTTGACCAACATAAAATTAAATCTACGAAGAGGCGGGTCCTCCTCTAGCCATTGCTGCTGCTGCGGCAGTGGCGGATAAAAAGATGTTTTTTTTATGAAAAGAAAAGATGATTATGGTTAGGTCTTAGGTGTTTTTTAGAAAAGAAAAGGTGATGATTATCTTGTCTATTTGTACTACCGCACTATGCTTCATAAAGAGATGTTATTGAGCTCTTTTATATATTGGTTTCCAGATTAAAGCTGGTACTTTCAAGTAGTTTTACTTCTAATTTATTCTGATCATCTGATTTAAGTAAAACATTTTGAAAGTCTATTTACTTAAGGGTAATAGAGTAACTGTTGCCCAACCTTCAAACAGCCGGGAGATCACTCTCATCAACCACGCCATCACCTCCTCTTCCTCCCCATCGTCCATCCAGCATCCAATGCACCCAACCTCCCCACGACTGGGAGCTCACACCTGTTAAACCTCACCAGTCACCAGTCACCACCACTTCCTCGTCATCCGTCTAGCATCTAACCGATCGGACGAGCCTGTGTCTACGCTTCACGGTCCCTTCCGATGCCGGAGCAGCGCGCGCTCGCCTTGCTCCTCCACGCCCTCACTGGAAGACTAGTCGGTCACGTTGACGTCCTACTCTGGAGCCATGCAACACCAGAACTGAACGGCGCCGTCGTGGAATGGAACTCGACTCCTCCGCCGCTTTCATCACTTCTCCTCCTTCATGCTACCCGTGCCACCGGCCACGAGTGGCGCCGAATCTCCGTGAAATCTCGATCTGTAGTGGCAGATCCCGCCTCCGGGCAGCGATGACCGAGCCGACGTGATAGGGGTGGGCGAAATGGAGAAGAAGGGGAACAAAGATGAATAGACATATGATGGATTATGGATCAGAAGAACATTGTGCCACTCATCCATTTTTCCTGAAATATACAATTACTAGATTACCCATAGTCAATCAAACGATAAAAACTATAAAAAAATGCTGATAATGGTCCCACATTTTTTCTACCAACCCCACCAATTTAATACGCATTTGGTATCTTTTAGTGCTTTTCCTTTGGTGACTTTAATTATTAGCCATTAGAATTCATCTCACCGTCGATCCTCATTTTTTTCAACCATAATAAAATTTCTCGCTGTTATTACCAACTTTGCCCAACAACTTGTTTGATGTAGAGTGGCAGAGATAACATACACATATCTCTTGTTATGTTCTCGACAGCATAATTTGTGTACTCACGTTTTTTTTTTCACATGAATTTCCCCTTGTTAAGTACTCAGCGAAGGAACCATGTGTAGTGTATATGGACATGTATCATGTGTCATCAACCATTCGACCCCAGGTGCAAATTTGATTTCCCCAAGAAGATATGTGTGGGGTTGTCTGTACATCATACATGGGAATATGAGGAGGGAACGGAGGATTCGTTGTTCGATTGCTACATGCACTGGTGCCATGGAATTTTTACAAGAGGCCGCACAAGCGTGGGAAGCGTGGTTGCCCTCACTCGTCCCACAAGCGAATAGATAGAGTATCCTATCATATCATATCAGACCAAAGTCATATGCACATCTGTTGTCAAAAAAAAAAGCCATATGCACATCTAACTACTTCTTTTGATCGACGTTCTCTCATGTTCTACAAACCTCCAACCAACTTCGTTTTTAGGGCCTCTCTAGAACGTGGGATTCTCAGAATACACGAATAACGTGGGATCCTCAAACGAGAGACTAGCGCCGAACGTTCGTATGCCCACGCCTGGTGCCCGTCCGTTTTTAATAATAATACCTTCATGGCGCCTATGGATGCAGCTTCATGCTCTATGCCTGCTGCCTGCCCATGCATGTAGATTCGTGCTCTCGCGCTTGACGTCCGCCCATGGATGTAGCTTCGTGCTCCACGCCTGTTGACACGCCCATGTATACAACTTTGTGCTTCACGCCTACTTCCGCGCTCGCTTCGCTTCCCGTGCGCACGTGGGGACCGCTGTGCCCGAGGGGACCACCTTCGCCTGCATCTCCTTGTTGCGTCTGCTGATTAAACACTTGTAACATAAAGTATTTGCTGCAACATACGTCTGAAACAGATGAAACATTCACAACATACACTCGCAACATATACGTATGGGTATTGCAACATATGCAACATTCATATAAAACACTTGGAACATACTCTTTCCATACTAAAAAATAAAGTCGTTTTGGACAGCGACACGATCTCTAAAGTATAACTTTGACTTCTTGTTTTTATAAAAATATTTATTAAAAAGTAATATATGTATATTTTTATGAAAGTACTTTTCAAGACAAATCTATTTATATGGTTTTCACATTTTCAAACTTAACAACTTAAAAGTTCTTCATGATTTATATTCTCAATGTTTGAGCCAAGCCTTGTCTAAAACGACTTCATTTTTTAGTACGGAGGGAGTACGTTTGAAACAGCTGAAATATTTAAAACATACACTTGCAACATATGTGTATAGCCAGTGCAACATATGCAACATCCAGATAAAGCACTCGCAACATACGTTTGAAATAGCTGAAATATTTGAAACATACAATTACAAAATACGTGTATAATCATTGCAACATATGCAATACTATATCTACTTTTGTAACATCCAGATAAAACATCTGAACATACATCTGAAACGCATGAAACATACGGTCGCAATATGTGATCATCTACTTGCTGCCCCCCAATGGACGCTCGTTCACGCGGAGCTTGATGCTAGCATGGAGCTCGATGCTACGGTGCGGAGGTCGGACCTCGGCTATGCGTAGCGCGAGTCCGAGTGGGAGGCGCAAGGTGCGGCGGAGCGCAGCGCGAGGCGCGGGTGGAGTGCAGTGCGTGAGGCACGAGACGCGAGGGCAGGCGGGTCCGTCCCATTCGGCCGAACGGACGCTCGGTAGAGAGCATTATCGATTCTCAAAATACATGAATAGAAAAAATACAGGATTAAAATTGTACGAAAAACTTACCATCCTACATTGTAGCATTTGGATACAATCTCTACAACTAAAACATTCATAACTATTCCATCCACAGGTGCGACACCAAAGCCGCTCCATGCGATCAGATCATGAAGGCAACGCGTACTCGCTCCATGCGATCAGCTCAATCCCCATAACAGCAGCAGCAAATCAGGATGGCAAAAATCAATTCCCGTAACAATTGTGATCAATTCTGCGATCACCCCAGGCCGCCAATCATGCGAGACCGCGCCGTCACCTGCACCGCGACCTCCCTAGCACTCTACAGTTGCACGACACCGCGTCCTCACATCCTCGTGCCCGGCCCTCGGGCCACCTTCGCCATCGCACACGCCGTCCATCGATCAACGCCATCATTCAATCACGCCCTGTCCACGTCCTACCCCGTACCGGCCCCGTCTGATGCCCCGTCTTGTCCCCATCGCCTCAACGCCACTGGAGCGCCCGTCGCCTCGATGCCCTACCCACTGACACTGGCGTACCCTGTCACGACACCGAGCTAGCGACAAGCACCCACCAGGTATGTCACCAGGACCCTATATCCCCATCTGTCTTTCCTTCCAGCTATGCGAAATGGAACACCCAAACCCAAATCCTAACAGCAGCACGTGGGCGAAGACGACCACGGCTAAGCCTAGCAGAAGCACACAGACGACGACAACCAGCGAGCCATCGCTGAATAGCCCTGCTCAAGTCTCCGTGGCGACGAACCCTCCCCACTGACACTGCTACTTTGCGTCGCCTCGGCCTAGGTCTCCACCACCGCTGACACACGCCAGACACGCGGAATCAGGACGCCACTCCTATATCCGTTGCAACAGATCACTAATCTCGTCACCTGCAGTCTGCGGAGCCCGCAATAGATCAGTGATCATGGCGAGCGGCCGAGCTCCTTAGCGTGAACCACCAGCCCACCACTACTAGCTGGGCAGCACAAGCATCACGCCCGCGAACTCCTGCGCCGCACCACCATTGCCAAGCGTGAGCTCGCTCTGGGGAATAGCCAGTCCTGGCCTTGCTCCTCCGTCCTTGGTAAGCCGCAGGTGAGCTTCCCCGCACCCCTACGCTCCTTCTCCACGCACGCGTGCGCGCAAGGCACACTACACAACTGCAAGCTCGCGTTGCTGGGAAATGGCCGCCAAGCACCAGTCGTGCTCTGCTTTGCACGAGCGTTGCTAGCTTGTTAGCTTGATGACACGAGAATGACATGTCCACACTTTCTTGTCGTTTTCCTTCAGAAGAATAAAAGAGGAAATACATTGAAAATGCAAGGACCCATACCCTTCAGCATGGACTCGGTCCATGGTGGACCACTCACACACCACACCGCTGATCCATGGTTCATGGACCTGTCAATGTTTTGTTTTTAAGTGGACATTCTAATAAGCATCCTGTTAGTTGATGACAATTTTCTAAGGATGTTTATGAAACTAGAATAGTCTCCCTTTGCATGATCGGTTATCGAGACCATAA